AATTAGACCTTGAGACTACTAACGTGTTAATTAACTGATTAATTTTGTAGCTAGCTTTTTCTTATTAAGCGAGATGTAATTAATTAGTGCTGATCGTCATGATTCAAGCCTCGAGCTTAGAAAAATATGTTTCTAGCGGGCTTAATTTTCAAACTGAAGGCCAAATTAGACCTTGAGACTACTAACGTGTTAATTAACTGATTAATTTTGTAGCTAGCTTTTTCTTATTAAGCGAGATGTAATTAATTAGTGCTGATCGTCATGATTCAAGCTTCGAGCTTAGAAAAATATGTTTCTAGCAGGCTTAATTTTGAAAGTGGAACCCTAATTAGACCTTGAGACTACTAACGTGTTAATTAACAGATTAATTTTGTAGCTAGCTTTTTCTTATTAAGCGAGATGTAATTAATTAGTGCTGATCGTCATGATTCAAGCCTCGAGCTTAGAAAAATATGTTTCTAGCGGGCTTAATTTTCAAACTGAAGGCTTAATTAGACCTTGAGACTACTAACGTGTTAATTAACTGATTAATTGTGTAGCTAGCTTTTTGCTTATTAAGCGAGATGTAATTAATTAGTGCTGATCGTCATGATTCAAGCTTCGAGCTTAAAAAATATGTTTCTAGGAGGCTTAATTTTCAAAGTGGAAGCCTAATTAGACCTTGAGACCACTAACGTGTTAATTAACAGATTAATTGTGTAGCTAGCTTTTGCTTATTAATCGAGATGTAATTAATTAGTGCTGATCGTCATGATTCAAGCCTCGAGCTTAGAAAAATATGTTCCTAGCGGGATTAATTTTCAAACTGAAAGCCTAATTAGACCTTGAGACTACTAACGTGTTACTTAACTGATTAATTGTGTAGCTAGCTTTTTCTTATTACGCGAGATGTAATTAATTAGTGCTGATCGTCATGATTCAAGCTTCGAGCTTAGAAAAATATGTTTCTAGCAGACTTAATTTTCAAAGTGGAAGCCTAATTAGACCTTGAGACTACTAACGTGTTACTTAACTGATTAATTGTGTAGCTAGCTTTTTCTTATTAAGCGAGATGTAATTAATTAGTGCTTATCGTTATGATTCAACGGTCGAGCTTTGAAAAATTTGTTTCTAGTGGGCTTAATTTTCAGGCTAATTAGGCCTTGAGACTACTAAAGTGTTACTTAACTAATTAATGTAGTTAGTGTTTTTCTTATTAACCGAGATGTAATTAGTTAGTGCTGATCGAGGTTTGAAAAATTTGTTTCTAGCCGAGTTAATTAGTGAAGAGCTAATTACTTAATTTTCATTAATTGCTTGCATATTGCATAAGGCGGAATAGGTCATTTTTGGGCCGTTAAAATTTGCGCTCTACTGTAAACAAGTTTAAGTCGAAATATTTAGTAAGGTGCGTGCCGTTCAAGGTCAGATCGCGTTATTTACATGCAACTGTAAAAAACTATGTCAAACGTACGTTGAGCGTCTACAATTTAAACGAAAAACCGCAAACGGAGCTGTTGCAGGCATATAAATAAGCGACAACCTCCAGGATGGCGTAGTTTACCCAAAGTCATGGGCCTAAATTTGAACCTGATCCTGTTTTCCTACAGCCTGTTGGGTACGTAAGTCTTTAATTGATTGATATGACATGATTAGCCTCGTTTAATTATCAATGTATTCCAGGTCGATGCGTTGGCCTGCTGGTCTCCAAGTCGAGCAGCGATTGGACTTTTACCTTGCACACAAGCACCAATAAAAGCTCCACAGATCTAAGCGACGCGAATCCTTCCGCACGAACGGTTATGATTATCCACGGCTGGAAACAGAACGGCAATCTCAGATGGATCGGCTTGATGAAAGACGCTTATTTGTCTCGGTACCCGATGAACGTCATCGTCTTGGATTGGTCGAGCCACGCGAAAGCGGCGTACGGAGTCGCGGCGAGAGCGGTGCCGAAAGTGGGCGAGCACGTAGCCGAACGCATTTACGAGTGGGAGGGCGGCGGGCTCGTGGACCCGATCTCCTTGAAAGTGATCGGGTTCTCGCTCGGCGCGCAGATAGCCGGCCACGCGGGCCAGCACTACCGGAAGCTGACGAACGGGACGAAATTGCGCAACATCGTCGGAATCGAGGCGGCCGGTCCAAGCTTCGAGGCGAGAGGTCACCACCAACGTTTAGACGCGAGCGACGCGCTGATGGTGCAAGCGATTCATACGAGCACAACTGGAATGACCGCCAGGTATGGTAGGGTGGACGTGTACTTCAACGCCAATGCTGGAGGATGCGGCAAACAACAGCCTGCTTGCCGTGGAGATCCCGGCGTTCCCATCGATTCTCCCATGGGAATGAGTGAGTGCGCGTTCGCTTTGATAACACACCTGACTTATATTTTGCAGCACTTTGTAATCATCTGCGTGCCGTGGCTTATTTTATAGAGAGCATAGGCTCGGTGGACTTCTTGGCGGCGCCGTGTAGCTGCAGCACTTTCAGAAACAGAAGGTGCGAGATGGAACGGGTCGTCGTCGTTGGAGAGCATCTCGAGCCGGCCGCAGAAGACGGGGCGTATCACCTGGTGACGTCCTGCAAATCACCATTCGCACTTGGCGCTGCAGGGTTAAATCCTTCAGCCTACAAGTGTTAAAAGTTACTCCCACCACAAGATTTAAATTGTAACGTAAAAAATAGTTTGTCCGTCCGTCTGTGTAATTATTTCAAATACGTAGTCCTCAGAACCTTCGAAAATAACACGTTAAAACGTGACCACGTTGTCAATTTAAATTTTGCAAAGCTTTTGGTCACTTAAAGGAAGAGTGTACTTACTAGAAACTTAGAGGCAAGGAGCAACAGACATTTCCCACGGGGAATCGATCAGTCCGTGCACCTCATACCTACATGTCCACAATAGACGTACATCCAAGGTGCTGGCGGGTGCCGGTCGCCGGCCAGGACCGAGATAAAACGTGTTTCACTACACCCTGCGGATTTTTGAGGATGCCTTTCGGACTGCGGAATGCCCCCTGTGACGTTTGTGCGTTTAATGGACCGGTTTCTTCCGAGTTTGAGCGGAGTATTCGTGTAGTTGATTCCTGAAAAGGTATCCGCTATTCAAAACTTGTCGTGTCCGTGTGATAAAATGCATGTTCAGAGTTTTGTCCACGTGCTCCTGGCATAGGAAGCTTATTAAAATTTTTCGGACACTAACTCACTAAGAAAAACTCTGTTTTTAGGTTTGGTGCTGCAGAACAACACGTGTTCGAGAAACTGATGTCCGCTCAAGTGTTGTTTCGAGACAGTCCGTACCTAATACGCACGACGTTTGAAAATTTAGATTGTACCTAGAGGGCGCGGATGTAACCAGTGCGACTGACCTCCAACTTTTGCAGTGAAAACCCCGCTTGGGAGAATTGCCCGGTGAGCACTCAGAATATGAAAATCTAGGGAAAATGAACGTTGTGTTATACTATGCCCCCCTTTTATTTCTTTTAATACAATAATTGGGACATAGTTTCGGCTTTGCCTGCAGGGCCGCCTCGTCTCACCTTGTTGGGACGGCAAACCGTCATTTCCGAGGTGAGACGGCGCAGGTGCCGAAGCTATGGTCCCTATTATACTTCGTTAAATGCAATAAGGGACATAGCTTCGGCTCCGGCGGCTGCGCCGCCTCACCTCGCCCTGTTGTAACGGTAAAGTTGAGTAAACTAAAAAGTCCTTTCTGAAAGGTGGTAATAGGGCGAGGCGAGGCGGCGCAGCCGCCGAAGCCGAAGCTATGCCCCCTATTTTATTTCTTTTAATACAATAATTGGGACATAGTTTCGGCTTTGGCTGCTGGGCCGCCTCGTCTCACCTTTTTGGGACGGCAAACCGTCATTTCCGAGGTGAGACGGCGCAGGTGCCGAAGCTATGGTCCCTATTATACTTCGTTAAATGCAATAAGGGACATAGCTTCGGCTCCGGCGGCTGCGCCGCCTCACCTCGCCCTGTTGTAACGGTAAAGTTGAGTAAACTAAAAAGTCCTTTCTGAAAGGTGGTAATAGGGCGAGGCGAGGCGGCGCAGCCGCCGAAGCCGAAGCTATGCCCCCTATTTTATTTCTTTTAATACAATAAGGGACATAGCTTCGGCTTTGGCTGCTGGGCCGCCTCGTCTCACATTGTTGGGACGGCAAACGCGTCATTTCCGAGGTGAGACGGCGCAGGTGCCGAAGCTATGGTCCCTATTATACTTCTTTAAATGTAATAACGGCAAAGTTGTGGAAACTAAAAAAATCTTCTCCGAGAGGTGGTAATAGGACGAGGCGAGGCGGCGCAGCAGCCGATTGTATTTGCTACCTCGCCCATCCCTATTGCGGCGGCAAACCTTTTGCATTGCGTTTTACTATGGCCAAGTTGTGAAAATTAAACCGTCATTTCAGGCTTCACATCTCCATTCCACCTGGCCTCGAAATTCTTTGAAATTTATAGATTCACCTTTCGTGTATTAACCACGAATTGCAATTTTTCGGAGAACAGCAAGAAAATATTTGTAGCGGTTAAAGCTGCTTACGCATTATAGAGACCGTAAGATCCGCTTCCTCCCTGGATAAGACGTGACAATGATAAAATTTAACCACAAAATTAGTGTATAAAATGAAATGTGAACGGCTGAACGCTTCTTCATATGGAGTGGATTGATCACTCATTAGCAAAGTAGCTAATTTACGTTGAAGTAAAACGGGTAAGTTGCATTCAATTATTAAACTCGTCCTTTTTTAGACAGAGGAAGTTGTTGGAGATTCATATACAGACAACGTAATCACTTTGTTACTTGGCATCAGTAGAACTCGCCCCAGGTGAGTTCGCTCACACAATGTTCTTCCCTAAGAAATTTTCCCACCTTGGGAAATTTCCACCTTCTTGGGAATTCTCATTCCAAATTCCTTCTTTATGTCCATTGACATACAGTGAATTGAGCAGATTGAATCGCTTATAATCATGTTCGTATGTACAGAACCAAACCGTTTCTCTTCGCCAGTCGAAATCTAAGAAGATTATAGTCGAGATAATCCCAAATCCCAAACATTTCACTTGGTCAGAACCAGTTAACGTCCTCGAAGAGGAGGTTCGCGCTCCTTCCATTCACAAATGGAACAAACTTGGTCTTTTCCGGATTAAAACTGTAACCATTTGAAGTACAACACCTAATTCCGAGATTGTCTTCGACATTCAACTGTAGGTTCGAAACCCTGAAACCAGGAGCGGGTTATCTATCTTGCAGGAGCGGGATTACGCTAATCAAAGCTACACAATTTAATATTAATTTGACGGCTGGTTTTTTTTATTGGTAAGTCCTTTTTTTCCCAGCCTATTTCTATTTTTATTCGATGAACCCATTTTTCAACGTTCCAGCCGCTACCAAACTGGCAAAAATCTTACTTATGACCCTCTTTGACAGTTATTGTTTTCATGGCTAAGTTAAGTAGATTCGATAAAAATGTCTTCTAGTGTTTTCGCGCCGCCACTGGTGATTCGGTGCGCTACCAGAGACACCGTCCGAGCTCATCCCACCAATTAATTTAAACCTTGAAATACGTCACGCATTCCTCATTCTCCGATATAAACTACAATCAAATGCAATGCTTAGGAATTTTCTCTTGAGGTTTGCATCATTCGAAAGTGCAAATAGGCTAAGGTCACCTCACTCGAAACCGGTTTCCGCTCTTGTAACCCTCATTTTGTCGAACAAAATGGGCTGCCCACTATCGACGAGTAGCAAAGTTTTACAAATAAGTAAGGGCGCTTTATTGATTTTATTATCCCCCCGCACGACACGAACGTCACTGTTGCCGTGGGAAATTTGCGGGTTAGTGACGATTTTTTTTGAATTGTTTTAGGCAAAAAGGGGCCGCCGAATATGACGGAGTCGGAGGAGTACGTCGAGGATGTTGTCTGCAAGAGCTCGGACGTGCAGGAAAATGAGGCGAAGGTGTTCGATCTGCGAGACGTCGGGAAGGTGCTGGTTGTGCGGCAGAAGGGCAAGTTGAGCGCGCTGGGGGCGAAGTGCACGCATTACGGGGCGCCGTTGCAGAGTAGCGCGGTCGGTGACGGACGGTTGAGGTGCCAGTGGCACGGGGCTTGTTTTAATATTGCCACCGGTGACATTGAAGATTTCCCCGGTAACTATCAGGTTTCCCCCACAGGATTATTAACCCATTGATTGTAGGTCTCGATTCGTTACCCTGCTATCAAGTTTCTGTGCAGGACGATAATGTAACCGTAAGGGCTCGACGATCCGAGCTTGAATCCAACAAGCGTATCAAGTCGATGTCAAAACGCGACCCGAACAACAACCAGCATTTTGTAATAATCGGCGGCGGTCCTTCGGGTGCGGTCTGTGCGGAGACCTTACGTCAGGAAGGCTTCCAGGGGAAGCTCACCGTCGTGGCCAAAGAGCGGTATTTGCCATACGATCGTATTAAATTAAGTAAGGTCATGGATGTACCCATTGAGAACTTACAGTTGCGAGCTTCAAGCTTTTACGCCACCTACGACATCGACTTCATCCTCGACTGTGAGGCGACCAAAATTGACCTCGATCACAAGCAGATTAGTTTAAAGGACGGACGCAGTTTAAACTACGATCGTGTCTACGTTGCTACCGGATCGAGTCCGCGAAAGGCCGACATTCCAGGTATGATGGTTCTCAAGGGGTTCCTGCACCCTAACCATAACACTCTATGATCTCTTACTGGAAGATGATCTGTGCGTAGGCTGGGGAGGTCTACACAGTTTCTAAAAGAAGGTGTTACCGGGGGTGTGGGAGGTATTCCGTGGAGATGGAATACCCCACAGGTAGATGACACTTCCATTGTCATTTCCAGAATACCACCTCCATAAGAGTTTGGAGGTTTTAACATAATGTATCAGAAATAGTCACGTTTGCTGGGGGGTATTCCATACCCCCCAGGCCCCCCGGTTGTATATTCTCTGCAGTACGGACAAGAGAATCTTATAATCCTTCCCCAACCACTGTCATGAGCTCTGAAGTCTACACAGTTTCTAAGAGAAGGCGTTACTGGCGGTGCGGGAGGTATTCCGTGGGGGCCATACCCCCCAGTATTATGTAAGCTTCAGATCTCATATGGAATACCCCCCAGGTTGATGACCCTTCCATTGTCATTACCAGAATACCACCACCATAAGAGTTCTGAGGTTTTAACAAAATGTTTAGGAAATAGTCTCGTTTGCTGGGGGGTATTCCATACCCCCCAGGCCCCCCGGTTGTATATTCTCTGCAGTACGGACAAGAGAATCTTATAATCCTTCCCCAACCACTGTCATGAGCTCTGAAGTCTACACAGTTTCTAAGAGAAGGCGTTACTGGCGGTGCGGGGTATTCCGTGGGGGCCATACCCCCCAGTATTATGTAAGCTTCAGATCTCATATGGAATACCCCCAGGTTGATGACCCTTCCATTGTCATTACCAGAATACCACCACCATAAGAGTTCTGAGGTTTTAACAAAATGTTTAGGAAATAGTCTCGTTTGCTGGGGGTATTCCATACCCCCCAGGCCCCCCGGTTGTATATTCTCTGCAGTACGGACAAGAGAATCTTATAATCCTTCCCCAACCACTGTCATGAGCCCTGAAGTCTACACAGTTTCTAAGAGAAGGCGTTACTGGCGGTGCGAGGTATCCGTGGGGGCCATACCCCCCAGTATTATGTAAGCTTCAGATCTCATATGGAATACCCCCCAGGTTGATGACCCTTCCATTGTCATTACCAGAATACCACCACCATAAGAGTTCTGAGGTTTTAACAAAATGTTTAGGAAATAGTCTCGTTTGCTGGGGGGTATTCCATACCCCCCAGGCCCCCCGGTTGTATATTCTCTGCAGTACGGACAAGAGAATCTTATAATCCTTCCCCAACCACTGTCATGAGCCCTGAAGTCTACACAGTTTCTAAGAGAAGGCGTTACTGGCGGTGCGGGAGGTATTCCGTGGGGGCCATACCCCCCAGTATTATATGTAAGCTTCAGATCTCATATGGAATACCCCCCAGGTTGATGACCCTTCCATTGTCATTACCAGAATACCACCTCCATAAGAGTTTGGAGGTTTTAACATAATGTGTCAGAAATAGTCTCGTTTGCTGGGGAGTGCCCCAGACCCCCCGGTGTTACTGATGGCGGTGTGGGAGGTATTCCGTGGGGGCCATGCCCCCCAGTATTGTGTAGGCTTCAGGTCTCATATGGAATACCCCCTAGGAGGTAGACCACACTTCCATTGTCATTTCCAGAATATCATCGGAGCTGAGGTCTCAATTTTTCGGGAATAGTCGTCTATTCTCTCGCTCCCTTCGTGAAGGCCACGAGGAGACTTTTCGTCCAACTGACGCTAAACGAAAAATTGAACGGCGACCACTTGTTACAGGTGCAAATTTGGAAAACGTGATGGTATTGCGCAATTACGACCAGTCGTCCTCGATCCACGCCCTGCTCGGCCCCGAGAAGCACGTCGTCGTTCTAGGTTCCAGCTTCATCGCCATGGAGGCGGCCGCGTACTGCGTCGGTAAAGCTGCGAGCGTCACCGTCATCAGTCGCTCTTCGGTACCGTTCGAGCCTGTCTTCGGGAAGGAAGTGGGCGGGGCCCTACTCAAACTCTTCCTCGAAAAGGAGGTGAAGTTTTTCGGGGAGAGCGGTATTAAGTCGTGCGCGGGTGACGCGAACGGCGTGCTCACGGAGGTGGAGCTTCTGGACGGTAGTAAGCTTAAGGCCGACGTTCTCATAATGGGCACGGGCAGTGCGCTTAACACTCAGTTTTTGAGGGAGTCGGGCGTGCCGGTTAACGGCGACGGTTCCGTGACCGTCAGCGAGTACTTGCAGACCTCGGTTCCGAACATCTTCGCAGGCGGCGACATCGCGAACGCGCCGATTTGGTCGCACGGTAACGAGCACGGTTTCATCGGTCACTACGGCCTCGCGCAGTACCACGGTAAAATCGCCGCGATGAACATGCTCAACAAGGGACAGGTGCTGAAGGCGGTTCCGTTCTTTTGGACGATGCTGTTCGGGAAGAGCGTCAGGTATTGCGGGTACGGGCGTTTTGATAGCGTGGTTGTGCGAGGCGATGTTGATAACTTCGTTTTTGTCGCGTACTTTGTTAAGAACGAGGAGGTCGTCTCGATTTGCGCGAGTGGGATGGATCCGATCGTCTCTAAGTATGCAGAGTACGTTTTTCAAGGAAATAAATTGTATAAGAAAGATTTGGGGAAGGATCCTTTTGAATTGTTACAATAATCTTTTTATGCTATGTTTATATTCACAAATGTTATATTTTTATATGTATATTGTTGCACATTTTCAGTATTATGTTGAAATTATATGTTGTTTATTATTACATTTGTCAAATACCCCTTCTAGGAACGTGCACTCTCAGCGCCCAACTTGCGACACTATTGGTGTGAAGTAAAACGTTCTGAGGGATTCACCGAATGACACGATGCTCTCTCGACGACCGCTCAAACCAAGATGGCTATGTAACGAAAGAAGCGTTGGTGCTCAAAGGACAGCTTTTCTTCTGAAAAGTTGCGCGGTTGCCAACTCAAAAATGTATGCATAATCGTAGGTTATATAAACAAGCAGAAAGCTCCCACAAAATCTGTAATCTAAGGATGCGTATCCTGTGACATATAGGCAAGCCGTCTTTGATAAACCCAAGAAATTGCGCAGATCGCGTTTAATTAAATGGTTACTACTAAATCTTTCCGTTGAAACTAGAGGCGAGTTCAAGGACGCATTTTAGGAGATAAAGCGCGTCTTGCTTTGACTAAAGATGGAAGATGCCGTTAACTTCTATCATTTTCATTTGTGGTGTAAATGTTTGCTCAATGTATGTTTTTTTTATTATGTAATTCAAAAGGCAAACAGACCAATAAGAGTTGCCCTTGGGGTAGAGTACCTAAAGATGCAGCGATCATTATCTACAAATTCGTGTACTAGTTTAATTGCAACAAAATAACAACAATAACAATTCAGTTAGTTCTAGATTTGAGTGTCAGCAATTCAGGATCGATGGCAATATCACCATGCGAACTGGTCATCAGTCCCAAATTGCTAGCCATGCGATCCGTAATATCTTCGCCTAACAAAATCGAATCGTTCACCAATCTCGAGGGCATGGATTCGGCTAGAAGGACCGCGTCCTGCATTTGGTGCTGGTCGTCGATCTGACCGTCGACGCTCTGCTGGAGCGGTGGTATTAGCGTCGGCCACTCGATGCCCAGAAATAAGTTCGAAGGGGGCACGCCGCCATTGGAGTCCACTCCGGAAAAGTTCAGCAGGGGACTTTCGATTGGCGTCGAACAGCCTGAAACGGTCCGAATCATATGTTAACATTCACCTTTACCCGATAGCCTCACTCGGTATATTTGTACTAATCTCTTTGTATATGTTCTTCTCTTGCTTCCTCCACTTCGCTCTACGATTCTGGAACCAAACCTGCACTCTCGCCTCGGTCAGCTCGATCCTCAGCGCGAGCTCCTCGCGGAAAAACACGTCGGGGTAGTGAGTCTTGTGAAAGGCGCGTTCCAGCTCCTCCAGCTGATAGTTGGAGAATGTCGTTCTAAAAGTCTCCATCAGAGAAAATTCGTTCCTCAATGCTCGACTTACCGGTAACGTCGCTGCTTTCGCTTGGAAATGGCGAGGGACCCCTCGCCGTTTGAACTTTCCGGACACTCGTTATCTAAAAAAGGTTTCTCCCGTTACAATATTAAATTAAGTGGTTCTTAATCTAATATTTGTAATTCAATTTACCAATACCGTACGTCTCCCGAGTGCAGTTCTCGTCCATTAAAGACGTACTGCTTAGCAACTCGCTAATCGTGTACGAGTTCGAACCTTGCACCAGCAGATTGTCACCACTGCCATTTTTCATTTGTTCTTCGTCCATTTCTCTCGAGCTTGGAATTACATCGCGTGCGAAAAAAGGCGACCGTTTTGATTTAAAATATTGAGTGCACTAGAAAACGTGAGAGCCAAACAACCTTTAACACGAAGCCGCAAAAGTACGGCAGGTAAACTTTCCTATACGTGTATTTTCCATTTTTCACTCGAGTTGTATGGCTTCGAGTCGTAAGTGAAAAGCGAGTGCACCCTCGTACATTTGTAAGAGCGGATGCGTTTTCAAAAACCGAATGTGTCTCGCACGCCTTTGCGAACGTGCCAGTTTTGAATTCATTCATAATAAAAGCGCCAAAGTGGGGACATCTCGTGGTAGCGTTTCGCACTAGTTCAATAATCAATAGCGGTAATACTGAGCCATGCTATCATATTACAGTCTAACATCCAACAAGAAGAAATCACTATTTCCCCATTAGGTATCAGAAAAGTATCAGGAGTAGAAAAACCGACACTTTTGACCTTTACGTTTCCTGCGCTCCTGATGTTTCCAGTTTAATATATGAGGTGTCTGCTAAGCAGAGGTGCACTTCTGCGCTCTTAATACAATCTCAGTAATAAAAAATAATCCGTCAATTGAAGACTTTACATGCAATCGCTTCTGTGGTCCTAATACATAGCTTTGGATATTTGTGCCAGGAGAACATAATACTTGGGAGGGATTTTGATGACGAGTTCTACATTTTCGTGGGCAGCTGCGATTCTACCACAACGATTTTTAAGAAAATATTGTAACATGAGACGTTCGGTGTCTGTCAATTACGGGTTTTCGATTTAAACTGTTCCTGTGATCCTGATATACAACACTTTTTCAGAGAAATTTGTGTTACGCCTGCACCTCCATTCGCGATCATAATCCACTCCTTTTTGTGCGAGAAATCAGGAGATATCTGGACTGCGCCTGTTATGATCTTTGTGCAGCAGCTTTGTATAGGAATTTGTGCCAGAAGGGCATTATACCTAAGAAAGCGTTTGCTGGTGATCTACACTGTTGTAGGTTTTTGTGATCCTGTTACGTTGATTAATGTTGCATCTGTCAGTTACAGGTTCTCGAGTCACATATCGAACTGTTTCTGTGATTCTGATACCTTGAAGGCTAAACGGTTTGTGAAAGAAAGTGTTACCGGGAAGTCTCCGGTACGATAGTTCCATTGCCATTCACAGAGCACCAGCATAAGGGTACTGAGCGTTCTAGCGAAAGGGTAATTGACTCCATACGAGGCTAAACGGGAGAAAGAAAGCGCTTCCTGGAGGTATGGAATACTCGGCAACAAAAAAGTCGATGGGCATTTTTATGAGAGAAATCAGGAGATCAAAATACGTGGGGGGTTTGTCAATTGAATATTCTGTATTTCTACATGGAAGCCCTTCTGTGATCGTGATGCGACAGATTTGCAAACAAATTTGTGCCAGGAGAACATAATAGTAAGGTGTCAATTATGAGTTTTTTATTTACATGTGTAGATAATCGTTTCTGTAATCCTGATACAACCATTTTTACAGAAAGAGAACAAAGCACGCGAGCCGGTGTGCTTTCTTTTGTGATCTTAATACACTTATTTTTGTGATAGAAATCGGGAGAGGAAATGTTTCTTGATGTGTTCTTCATCTTCTTCAGTTTTTACGATCCTTTTACGATTTTTGAGAAAATTTTGTATGCGAGGTGCCTGTGAATTACACCAATTCTCCAGAGAATCCTGTATTAGGACAACATAATACTTCAGAAGTTGCACCAACTCAATATACTAATTTTTGGGATAAATCAGAAAGTAAAAACACGTGGAGTGTCTGCAACCTGCATTTTCCTACACACATGAGAACAGTCATATGATCCTGATACATTTCCGAGAAACCATAATAGAGAAGATGCCTGACTTTCAGTTTCCGCAACCATTTTCATCACGGAAATCAGGAATTTTGAATAGTTTCTGGCAGGAGAATTTAATATGTGACACAAGCTTAATAGAAGATTAACAAAATACTGGAAATGATGTGCAGAAAAGTGATTTCGACCGGTTTTCAAAAAGGGCCCGAGGCACTACAGAAGAGTTCAGAATTTGGAAGTGTAGGAGGTTTAGGAAAGACTTTGAGGATACTGCAAGAAAAGAGCCTTTAAACGATTTTAAGGATTTGGAAAATCAATCCAAAAAGTTGCAGTCTGCGCATGTGCACAACTGATTGATTGATATAATATGCGATATGGTTGTCTTTACTCGAAGCACCTGTGATTAAGATTAAAACGGGTGGACGGACAAAGAAAGTGTTTGCAATATAAATATAGACAATGTGAAGGTTTTAAAATGAAAGGATTGGATTTTAAAATTTAAAAGTCGTACCAGCGGATCAAAGTTATAGCGCTTTCAGTTTTTTCCTTCATATCATCGAACAAATGCGCCCAGATGAAGATGTTAAAGATCTGAGGATGAATCTGAAAATGTGAAGAAACAAATCTTGAAACAAACGTCAGCTCAGAAAATCGCTTAATCAGGATCACAGAAAATCGACAGTCTGTGTTACGCCACTGAATAATGTGATCTGAGCCACAGTCAAGCTTTGTTTTGTTTCCGTGTCTAGACTGCCGCTCACATAACCTCCAAGTTGTCAAAAACAGCTGATCCATTAGGGGGTGTTTGTAAACTGTCTGGACCATGTCTCACCTGCAAGGAGGCAAAGTGGACGTATCCCTAATTCAGGTCGCAGCCCGAAACAGTTTAATTAACCTTTTGGAAAAATGCGTCGGGCCGAAGGCCATCGTCTGGGACAACTCGCTTGCGGGCCCGGTCGGACTCGTCGCACAATACGTCACGTTAAAGGAGTACGAGGTGATGAAAATGTTCCCCCTGCGCGACTCCCCCCTACCCTCGGTCGACGTTCAGCACGTCATCTTCATAACTCGGCCCAAACTGCACCTGATGGATTTGGTCGCGCAGAACGTTCACAACGATTCCAAGTCGTCGAGCGACCCGAAGAAGCAGTACCATCTGTTTTTCGTTCCGCGAAAAAGTCTACTCTGCATAAAGCGGTTGGAGCACAGCGGCATGTTCGGCAGTTTGACGTTGATCGAGGAGTTCAAGTGCGACTTTTTTCCGTTCGATTCCGACTTGATCTCCATGGAGCTGCCCGAGGTTTACAGGTGAGCAAAACCGGGGGGCTTAAGGGGCTCCGGCAACTTTCTTTTAAATTCTTTCCACAAAATTCTCTGGTTTGTTATGCGCGTTTCAGTAAAGTCACTAAATATAGAAAGTACCGCAATCCATTGGGCTCGTGTGTTAGAGAGAGAACGCATGATTTTTGCCCAAAAATGGCGGAAGTTACCATATTCTAGTAACTTTAATGTTAGGGATTGTTCCACCTGTTTGGAGATATCTGTATAAATTTTTATAAAAAATGACAGCTATTCAGATTTTATTTGTCAATTTTTTTAAGTTGGCAGCAAATTTGCCCAAAAATGGCGGATGATTGCGGTACTTTCTATATCTAATCACTTTACGTTTCAGTAAAGTCACTAAATATAGAAAGTACCGCAATCCATTGGGCCCGTGTGTTAGAGAGAGAACGCATGATTTTTGCCCAAAAATGGCGGAAGTTACCAGATTCTAGTAACTTTAATGTTAGGGATTGTTCCACCTGTTTGGAGATATCTGTATATATTTTTATAAAACATGACAGTACTATGAAGTTAGGTTATAAAAAATGACAGCTATTCAGATTTTATTTGTAAATTTTTTTAAGTTGGCAGCAAATTTGCCCAAAAATGGCGGATGATTTCGGTACTTTCTATATCTAGTGACTTCACGTTTCAGATTAACAGTGAGACATCTGGTGACAGCACATTGTATTAAATACAGTTCGGAAAAGACCGCCATTTTGTTAGCGTTTCTTTATTGCCAATGGCCAAAAGTAGGTACTCAATAATCAATATTATAGTGTTTATGGCTGTAAAAATGAATACACTTGCAAAATTTTCATTTGCAAATAAATGTAATTACATCTTAAAGAAAACGTCACATTTTATAATGGTACTTTAACAAATTTTAAATGTGACCAGTGCAGTTATGTAATCAACAATAGGAATAATTTAAGAAATCTACTCATGATATTTCCAACGTTTTTAATTGTGAACAGTGTAATTACACAACAAAAAGTAGGAAATTGATACACTCCGCTTTGAAAAACTGCTGCCATCAGTGTAATTACACTACAATTAATAGCGTTCACTTAAAGCATCACATATTAACAACAACCCGAGCAACAACCATTGAATTTATACAAAAATTTAATTTGTGATCAGTGTAATTTCGCTACTCACCATAAGCGGCATGTCTTAAAACATGCCACATTGAAGGGTTTATGTGCAGTTTATGCGACAATGCCACAAATAGTAAGATCGTCATTTAATAAAGCACAACTCATCGAAAAATACCGATTTTTTAATTTGTGGTCAGTGTAATTATTCTATGAATAATTGACTTAAAGTAAATTCGGTTGGGGATTATCTTATACATCAAACCCGGTAGGTTATCGACTGATTATATTTATTGTAAGCGTTTACATGCTATTTACATCACAGATTTTCGTTCCTTAAACTATGTCAATTATGTTAGTATGCAGAAAATACGTCAACCTTGCCAACAATGTGCTTAATGTTTTTTTATTTCCTTTATTCCTCCCGGGGGCGGCGACGTTTAACTTCTCCTACCCTTTCAGCGATTACTACATAGAGAACGATCCCACGAGCCTATACCACGTCGCCCAAGCCATACTGCTCCTGCAAAAGTTTTACGGGCCAATCCCGCGCGTATGGGGACGAGGAATGGCCGCCAAACAGGTGTGGGATCTACTGACGCGCCTCCAGCGCGAAAACCTAACGAGGGACGTCAAAGAAAATCAGACGTCCTGCATCGACCGCCTGCTAATCATCGACCGGTCGGTCGATCTAATTTCGCCGCTCGCGACCCAGCTCACGTACGAGGGGCTGATCGACGAAATTTTCGGTAGGCGTTCTCGCGTTTGCGTCCCTCACTCACCTCCCCCTCTTGCAGGAATAAACAATACGACCGCCAATTTTCCGCCGGAGAAATTTCTAAGCAACGAGGAGAGGAATACCGATTCGCTGTCGGAGGACAAAAAATCGTTCATTTTAAACTCGGGCGATAAGCTGTTCTCGGAACTGCGCGATAAGAACTTCAACGCGGTCGGGCCGTTCCTCTCCAAGCAGGCGAAGCTGATGAACGCCCAATTCGAGGGCGATCACGAGAAGAGCATGGAGGAGATGAAGCGGCTCGTTAAGAATTTGAAGACGATGATGGCGAACAAGAGCCTGTTGGCCAGGCATACGGCGATCGCCGAGTGCATCAAGGAGAAAACCGACGGTTACGATTTCCTGGACTGTTTACAGGTGCATAGGTACGCCTGGCAAAGGCTTTTTTGTAGCAATCTGTTCGTAGGCGGAGCAGGAATTTTTAAATTGCATCGAAGTCGATCGTGCCAGTCCGTTTATCGAGGACCTGATCGCGCAGAAAAGGCCTCTGATTAAAGTGCTGCGATTGATCTGTTTACAATGTATTGCCAGTTCGGGGTTAAAACCGAAAGTGTTGGAGTATTACAAGCGTGAACTTGTTCAGGCAAGTCGGTTTAGGTGGGGAGAGGGAGGGGGGGCACGAACTTATAAATTAAGATGGACTGCTGATCAAACAGTTGCATAGAGGTAGAAATGGCCGTAGCATGGGCACATTTTAGTTATTTTCTAGGGGAATTTTCCTAGTGCTCAAGTTTTGAGACTATTGCAGCCTTGGAAAATGACATGTGTCACAATAATTTATTTAAAAAACGTGAGGTTGATGCTTGTTTATTGGTTGATTTAAATTTCGCGCCAAGTGAGTGCACATCATGGCGGCTCCTATCTAGGTGTCATTTGTTAATTCAGCATTAGCAGTCCATCTTAATTTATAAGTTCGTGGGGGGAGGTCCCTCACTTTAACAAAATGATTCAATTCAAAAATTTCAAAAAAGTTGAGAGACCTCTCGACGGCATCGTTTCTTGATAATTTCGTTTACAGGTGTACGGTTTGAGAGCATTTTTAGCTGTGACCAATCTGGAAAAAGCCGGTCTGTTGAAGGTCCAATCCAGCACAAGACACTACACGGTCTTACGAAAGGTAAGGGACTTCGATTTCATTGACGATCTGTAACTGACGTGCTCTTAGGCGCTACATTTAACGGTGGAAGACAGCTCGGAAGTCAATCCGACCGATATTAGCTACGTGCATAGTATATACGCGCCGCTTAGTATAAGACTGACGGAGCAGCTGCTCAAGGGAGGCGGTTGGAAACAGTTGCAAGATGTTCTCGGCTTACTACCAGGTGATTTAATTTTTTTTTTGCTTCGTCTGAAATCTTGATCTGGTTTGAAGGACCACCTTATGCAACATTGTAACCACACGCGTTTTTTTAGTGATCTGGTAGGTTAAACATGTCAAAAGGGGTGGTGGGGAACAAAACCTCAAATGTGAATATCTCGCAACGTTATCACCAGAAAACGTTTTTAGTATTAAAAAGTTAAACCGATTCAGGGGGGGGGGGGCGTTGCGTTCCACGTTTCTATTCCCTCTAAGTAGTGGTGAAATGGGTGGAGTTATGAAATTAGTACCAGAACGTACTTGAGCGAGGCGAGGCGGCGTAGCCGCCGAAGCCGAGCGTATGTCTTTTCAAAATCATTAAAATTGCTATAGTAGTACCAGCACGTATTTGAACGAGGCGAGGCGGCGCAGCGTATGCCGTATCGAAACATTAAAATGGCCACAGTAGTACCAGCACGAAAATGAGCGATGTGAGGCGGCGCATGGCTTATCAAAATCATTGAAGTCGTTATAGTATCAGCACGTATTTGAGCGAGGCGAGGCGGCGCAGCCGCCGAAGCCGAGCGTATGTCCTTTTAAAATCATTAAAATTGCTACAGTAGTACCAGCACGTATTTGAACGAGGCGAGGCGGCGCAGCCACCTAAGTCGAGCGTATATCCTATCCAAATCATTAAAATTGTTTAAGTAGTACCATCACGTACTCGAGCGAGGTGGGGCGGCGCTGCCGTCGAAACCGAGCGCTATCCATCTTTTTATACACTGCCTTTTTTTGAGCCCCGAAAAAAAAATTGTCACAGATCGACCCGGAAAAATTTTTTTTTTTATAGAATGTGGCCTGTAGAATCCATAATTTCAAACAGTTCCAAGATTGGGCTACTAGTTCAAAAGTTACAGCCCTTTGAATTTTTTTTCGAAATTGGTTTCTAGTCTGTAACTTTTGATTGAGAAGTCTGATCGAAAAAGTACGAATTGATTTGGATTCTACGCATCCAAATTAATAAGAAAAAGTGTTTTCCCGAGAAATTTTGGTGTAGTCGAATTTTGGTAAAAAAGGCCCCCTCCCCTCCGGCACTACTGTCCTTTCCCAAAGAAAAATATCTGGTAATTCTCAAAAGCTGAACACCGCTGTGGGAGAATCTCCCCCCCCAACCCCCTCCCAGCAAGAGAGCTGTCACGTCAACTTCCGGCATGGCTTTCAGACTAAGCGATGCAGGAATAGCACGATAATACGCTATAATGCCGAAAACCCGACAAGCGTTTGTATGGAGTAGTAACGAACCGATTTCACTTCTAGGGCCGACGGTTGATGAGTCGCAAACGACATCGGACGTACTAAGTGAGAGCACCAATTCCAATGTGGTCCTCGTCTTTTTCATAGGCGGCTGTACATTCGCCGAGGTGAGTGTCGCTCATCCATAAAGTAGACGATTAATTAACGATTTCAGATTTCCGCCCTCCGATTTTTGTCTCAACAAGAGGAGCTGAACGTTGAGTTTGTGATCGCCACCACGAAATTAATCAATGGAAATACGTTTCTTGAAAGTATAATAAACACAGACGCTTAAAGTACTACGACAAATATCGTTCTATGTAGTGTAGAGTTTCGAACCCGACCTCCACCATGATCAGTACAATGATCATCCATTCCAAGCGCGTGTGGTGCTCGTCGCTCAAGTGCGACGACAGCAACTCGACGAGCTCGATGCAGTGATTCAGCTTCTCGTTCATCACCTACAAACCTCGGGAGATTAGGCGACTTGCACGGGGCGCAATGCGAACCTTGGTCCGTCGATTGATGTTGAAATAACCGCAGGTCTGCACGTAGAGCCTTTCGTACTGGTCTCGATCCCAGTAGAAGTCGGGCGTGTCGAGCAGATCGGAGCTGAGATTGATGAGGTGGCGTAAGGCGAACAGCTCGCCGTGCTTACGGAGGACCTCTTCGCGTGACATTTTAATTTTCTTCCCCGATTTTAGGTCCTCGGTCACGTACTCGATGGAGTCGATGTACTCGTCGAGCATCGCCTCCCATATGCTCAATTTGACGGACAAGGCGAGCGAGTTCGAGAACGTGTACTTGTCGAGCAGGTTTCGCTCGAACGGCACGATGAAATCGCCACTCTCCTCCAGCGCACTCGGCTTTCTACAAAAACAAAAGCGTTAACGTTCGATCCGTGAACGACAAGGATACCCTTCGACTTGGTGGTGATAGTTCATCGTCTCGCATTCGCCCAGCACCAATTTCTCCGAGTACGCGTTTTGCTCGTACGGTTTGAGAAAGCCGATGACGTTGCCGCTCTCCAAGTCGGATACGTTCCACAGTACGACGCTGCCCTCGCGAAAGAAGAAGATCTCGCGGGGCTCCGCGTCGATCTGGTATTTGGCCAGGGCGTGTAGTGCGTTGTTGTCTACTTTCGACGTCGCGTACAAGTTTTGCATTTTGAGACCTGCGGCTAGACTTTCCAGATCGTACTCTTCGGCGGTGGCGTACGCGACTACGTTGTAGGAGCCCGGCTGTTTCTCGTCGAGGGGGCGCTTTTTGCGCGCGGGGCGCTTCTTAATTTGCAGCGGTGAGATGGATTCCTGCGGCGCTGGCAACGAAAAGTGCCTTGTCCATGAAAGGGGTGGCTTGCATACGAAGGTTGCTAGGGAGTCACATTTTCTTAATACTGCAAAAAGACGCATTTTTTAATTGGAGAAGTATATTTTGAAAATAAAGAGAATAGGTTAAACTTATAGGTTAGAATCATAGAATACTACCCATACATATACAGGGTGATCCCACAAAACGTTAATCCTCAAGAACTACAAGATTTGGAGTTTCTTTCGATGGTATATAGTGAGTGTTTTGTGGAAGAATATAGAGGCGGGGGGGGGATTCCATATACCCAACAGCACCTGAAGATTCTATGGTATTAAAAGTGTAGCGAAATAAACATACCTGAAAATGGTGTGATATCAGTGTAGAGAAATAAAGATGAACTGTTTCTTTTTTCCTGGAACGTATTCTATACCCCCAGGTGCTACGAGATCCCCAAAACTTACGGCCTCAAGGGTACCACAGGATTCAGGAGTTCCGTTCGATGGCCCCTCTCCAAAAATTGCAATGTAAGTGCTTAAGTCTAGTGAAATAGATAGCCTACACCTTGAGGGTGTCCCAGACGGTCTTCAAATTTTGTGGTCTTAACTGAGAAGCATGAATTATTTTCGTTTTGGAGAGTAAAACGAATTCTGACAGAGCTAGAAAAAGACCTCTCCGTATATACTGTTCTCCTAGTAGAACGACACCTTTTGCATAAGTTTGTCGACAAGTAACAGGTGTAGTATTAGGAAAAGAAACACCTCCTCGCACTCATATGATCCTGATACAGAATTGGCAAATTTTTAAATCGAATGAAATCTTTGAAATAATTCTGACAGAGATAGAAAAAGACCTCTTCGTACATTATGTTCTCCTAGTAGCACGACTCCTTTTGCATAAGTTTGCCGACAAGTAACAGGTGTAGTATTAGGAAAGAAACACCTCCTCGCACTCATATGATCCTGATATAGAATTGGCAAATTTTTAAATCAAATGAAAGCTTTGAAATAATTCTGACAGAGATAGAAAAAGACCTCTTCGTATATTATGTTCTCCTAGTAGCACGACACCTTTTACATAAGTTTGCCGACAAGTAACTGGTGTAGTATTAGGAAAAGAAACACCTCCTCGCACTCATATGATCCTGATATAGAATTGGCAAATTTTTAAATCGAATGAAAGCTTTGGAATAATTCTGACAGAGCTAGAAAAAGACCTCCTCGTACATTATGTTCTCCTAGTAGCACGACACCTTTTACATAAGTTTCTCGACAAGTAACAGGTGTAGTATTAGGAAAAGAAACACCTCCTCGCACTCATATGATCCTGATACAGAATTGGCAAATTTTTAAATCGAATGAAAGCTTTGGAATACTTCTGACAGAGCTGGAAAAAGACCTCAACGTATATTATGTTCTCCTAGTAGCACGACACCACTTACATAAGTTTGTCGACAAGTAACAGGTGTAGTATTAGGAAAAGAAACACCTCCTCGCACTCATATGATCCTGATACATAAATGGCAAATTTTTAAATCGAATTATAGCTCTGAAATAATTCTGACAGAGCTAGAAAAAGACCTCTTCGTATATTATGTTCTCCTAGTAGCACGACACCTTTTACATAAGTTTGTCGACAAGTAACTAGTGTAGTATTAGGAAAAGAAACACCTCCTCGCACTCATATGATCCTGATACAGAATTGTCAAGTTTTTAAATCGAATGAAAGCTTTGGAATACTTCTGACAGAGCTGGAAAAAGACCTCAACGTATATTATGTTCTCCTAGTAGCACGACACCTTTTACATAAGTTTGTCGACAAGTAACAGGTGTAGTATTAGGAAAAGAAACACCTCCTCGCACTCATATGATCCTGATACAGAATTGGCAAATTTTTATATCGAATGAAAGCTTTGAAATAATTCTTACAGAGCTAGAAAAAGATCTCTAATCTGAGAATTTCCCGTTCGATCTGAGACAATTTTTTTTCAGGCCTCAGAAAAAGGCAGTATATATACACTTCCTTTTTTACCAAAAACGACTGCACCAAAATTTCTCGGGAAAACACTTTTTCGTACTAATTTTGGTGCGTAGATACCAAAACGAGTCGTACTTTTTCGATTATGGTGGTAGTTAGGTTAGCTCAAAAATCTGGTATCAGGAGAATATGATGTGTGAGGAGATTGAAAGTTAAAATAAAATTTTAGTGAGGTTAGGTTAGGGTGGTAGTTAGGTTAGCTCAAAAATCTGGTATCAGGAGAATATGATGTGCGAGGAGAATGAAAGTTAAAATAAAACTTTAGTGAGGTTAGGTTAGGGTGGTAGTTAGGTTAGCTCAAAAATCTGGTATCAGGAGTGTATGATGTGCGAGGAGATTGAAAGTTAAAATAAAACTTTAGTGAGGTTAGGTTAGGGTGGTAGTTAGGTTAGCTCAAGAATCTGGTATCAGGAGAATATGATGTGTGAGGAGGTTGAAAGTTAAAATAAAACTTTAGTGAGGTTAGGTTAGGGTGGTAGTTAGGTTAGCTCAAAAATCTGGTATCAGGAGAATATGATGTGCGAGGAGATTGAAAGTTAAAATAAAATTTTAGTGAGGTTAGGTTAGGGTGGTAGTTAGGTTAGCTCAAATATCTGGTATCAGGAGAATATAATGTGCGAGGAGATTGAAAGTTAAAATAAAATTTTAGTGAGGTTAGGTTAGGGTGGTAGTTAGGTTAGCTCAAAAATCTGGTATCAGGAGAATATGATGTGCGAGGAAATTGAAAGTTAAAATAAAATTTTAGTGAGGTTAGGTTAGGGTGGTAGTTAGGTTAGCTCAAAAATCTGGTATCAGGAGAATATGATGTGCGAGGAGGTTGAAAGTTAAAATAAAATTTTAGTGAGGTTAGGTTAGGGTGGTTGTTAGGTTAGCTCAAAAATCTGGTATCAGGAGAATATGATGTGCGAGGAGATTGAAAGTTAAAATAAAACTTTAGTGAGGTTAGGTTAGGGTGGTAGTTAGGTTAGCTCAAAAATCTGGTATCAGGAGAATATGATGTGCGAGGAGGTTGAAATTTAAAATAAAATTTTAGTGAGGTTAGGTTAGAGTGCTAGTTAGGTTAGCTCAAAAATCTGGTATCAGGAGAATATGATGTGCGAGGAGGTTGAAAGTTAAAATAAAATTTTAGTGAGGTTAGGTTAGGGTGGTAGTTAGGTTAGCTCAAAAATCTGGTATCAGGAGAATATCATGTGCGAGGAGATTGAAGGTTAGAATAACATATTAGTGAGGTTAGGTTAGCGTGGTAGTTAGGTTAGGTCCGAAATCTTGTATCAGGAGAATATAATGTGCGAGGAGATTGTAGGTTAGAATACAATATTAGTGAGGTTAGGTTAGCGTGGTAGTTAGGTTAGGTCCGAAATCTTGTATCAGGAGAATATAATGTGCGAGGAGATTGTAGGTTAGAATACAATATTAGTGAGGTTAGGTTAGCGTGGTAGTTAGGTTAGGTCCGAAATCCTGTATCAGGAGAATATAATGTGCGAGGAGATTGAAGGTTAGAATAACATATTAGTGAGGTTAGGTTAGCGTGGTAGTTAGGTTAGGTCCGAAATCTTGTATCAGGAGAATATAATGTGCGAGGAGATTGTAGGTTAGAATAAAATATTAGTGAGGTTAGGTTAGCGTGGTAGTTAGGTTAGGTCCGAAATCTTGTATCAGGAGAATATAATGTGCGAGGAGATTGTAGGTTAGAATACAATATTAGTGAGGTTAGGTTAGCGTGGGAGTTAGGTTAGGTCCGAAATCTTGTATCAGGAGAATATAATGTGCGAGGAGATTGAAGGTTAGAATAACATATTAGTGAGGTTAGGTTAGCGTGGTAGTTAGGTTAGGTCCAAAATCTTGTATCAGGAGAATATAATGTGCGAGGAGATTGTAGGTTAGAATAACATGTGGTAGTTAGGTTAGGTCCGAAATCTTGTATCAGGAGAATATAATGTGCGAGGAGATTGAAGGTTAGAATAACATATTAGTGAGGTTAGGTTAGCGTGGTAGTTAGTTTAGGTCCGAAATCTTGTATCAGGAGAATATAATGTGCGAGGAGATTGAAGGTTAGAATAACATATTAGTGAGGTTAGGTTAGCGTGGTAGTTAGGTTAGGTCCGAAATCTTGTATCAGGAGAATATAATGTGCGAGGACATTGTAGGTTAGAATACAATATTAGTGAGGTTAGGTTAGCGTGGTAGTTAGGTTAGGTCCGAAATCTTGTATCAGGAGAATATAATGTGCGAGGAGATTGAAGGTTAGAATAACATGTGGTAGTTAGGTTAGGTCCGAAATCTTGTATCAGGAGAATATAATGTGCGAGGAGATTGAAGGTTAGAATAACATATTAGTGAGGTTAGGTTAGCGTGGTAGTTAGTTTAGGTCCGAAATCTTGTATCAGGAGAATATAATGTGCGAGGAGATTGAAGGTTAGAATAACATATTAGTGAGGTTAGTTTAGCGTGGTAGTTAGGTTAGGTCCGAAATCTTGTATCAGGAGAATATAATGTGCGAGGAGATTGTAGGTTAGAATACCATATTAGTGAGGTTAGGTTAGCGTGGTAGTTAGGTTAGGTCCGAAATCTTGTATCAGGAGAATATAATGTGCGAGGAGATTGAAGGTTAGAATAACATGTGGTAGTTAGGTTAGGTCCGAAATCTTGTATCAGGAGAATATAATGTGCGAGGAGATTGAAGGTTAGAATAACATATTAGTGAGGTTAGGTTAGCGTGGTAGTTAAGTTAGGTCCGAAATCTTGTATCAGGAGAATATAATGTGCGAGGAGATTGAAGGTTAGAATAACATATTAGTGAGGTTAGGTTAGCGTGGTAGTTAGGTTAGGTCCGAAATCTTGTATCAGGAGAATATAATGTGCGAGGAGATTGTAGGTTAGACTAAAATAAGATTGAGGTTAGGTTAGCGTGATAGTTAGGTTAGGTCCGAAATCTTGTATCAGGAGAATATAATGTGCGAGGAGATTGTAGGTTAGAATACAATATTAGTGAGGTTAGGTTAGCGTGGTAGTTAGGTTAGGTCCGAAATCTTGTATCAGGAGAATATAATGTGCGAGGAGATTGAAGGTTAGAATAACATATTAGTGAGGTTAGGTTAGCGTGATAGTTAGGTTAGGTCCGAAATCTTGTATCAGGAGAATATAATGTGCGAGGAGATTGAAGGTTAGAATAACATATTAGTGAGGTTAGTTTAGCGTGGTAGTTAGGTTAGGTCCGAAATCTTGTATCAGGAGAATATAATGTGCGAGGAGATTGTAGGTTAGAATACAATATTAGTGAGGTTAGGTTAGCGTGTTAGTTAGGTTAGGTCGCGCTGTGGTATACTGGCCGCTTCTTATCTGCTCTGTTCCCTCAGGCGTACGCAATTCTATGCTTCGTACTACCGGTGGACAACGCTCTCCCCAAGCCTCTACCGCACCTCTCCATACTAATTATTTCTACCGCTAAAATTTCAACAATTCTCGCCCTCCGCACATATATTATCTCCGTTACAAGATGAGCTAATCCCTAACTATGTTAGCACTTCTAAACCTAACTCTCACACTAACATTTATATCCTAAATTCAATCTCCTCCGACATTATATTCTCCTATACAAGATTTTGGAGGCTAACCTACTAGCACTTAACCTAACCCTACTACTTTTTATCTAAAATTCAAATCTCTCGCACATTATATTCTCCTGATACAAGATTTTTTGGGCAACCCTTCCCCGCTCTAACTAGCACTTCCTTAAGAAAAACAACCTCACTAATATTATCCAAAAAAAATTCAATCTCCTTCGCCCAACATTATTATTTCTCCTGATACAAGGATTTCTGACGCAACTCTTACTAGCACTCTAAACTAACCTCACTGATAAAATAATATTTTACCCTAAAAATCAATCTCCTCGCCCAATAATTCTGCCTCGATACAAATTTTTTGAGCTTAACCCCGCTAACAGCACTTCTCTACTAACCTCAACTTAATATTACCCTTAAAAATTCAAATTCTCCTCGCCACATACATATTCTCCTTCGCGATTACAAAGATTTATTTGAGCTAACCTAAAAACTTAGCACTCAAACCTAACCTACACTAATATTTACCCTAAAATTCAAGCTCCTCGCACATTATAGTCTCCTGATACAAAGACTGAGCTAACCTGCTAACCTAACAGGCACTCTAATCCCCTAACCTCACTAATATTTTATCCCTAAAATTCAAGCAGCGCTCTCGCACACTATTCTCTGATACAAGATTTCTGAAGCTAACCTAACATAGCACTCTAAACTAACAACTCACTAAAATTATCCTAAAAAAAAATCAATCTCCTCGCACATATTTTCCTGAATTACAAGGATGTTCTGAGAGCTAACCTAACAGCACTCTAACCTAACCTCACTAATTATCCCTAAAATTCAAGCTCCCTCGCCACATTATATTTCTCCCTGTGATACTAAGATTTTTCGGAGCTAACCTACTAAGCAACTCTAAAACTAACCCACTAATATTTTATCCCTCCTAAAATCAATCTCCTCGCACATCTATATATCTCCTGATACAAGATCTTCTGAGCAAGACCCTACTAGCACTCTTAACCTAATCCCGCTCACTAATTTTTTTAATCCTAAAATATTTTCAAGCTCCCTTCCGCACAATTTATATTCTCCCCTGGATACAAGATTTTTGAGCTAACCTAACTAGCACTCTAACCTAACCTCACTAATATTTACCCTAAAAATTCAATCTCCTCGACATCTATATTCTTTGATACAAGATTTTGAGCCAAAAGACGCTAACTTAGCAACTCGAACCCCTAACCTCACTTAATTATTTGTCCCTAAATTTCAATCATATCCCGCGCACACATTATATTCTCCTGATACCAAGATCTGAGTAACACTTAACTAAAGCACTCTAACCTAACCTCACTAATATTATCCTAAAATTCCAAGCTCCACCTGCACCATTATATTCTCCTGATACAAACATTTCTGAGCTAACCTAACTAGCACCTCTAAACTAACCTCCACTAATATTATCCTAAAATTCAATCTCCCTCGCACATTATATTCTCCATGGATACAAATTTCGTGCACCTAAACTAGCACTCTAACCTAACCTCACATAATTATTTATCTAAAATTTCAAGCTCCTCGCACATTATATTTCCGATACAAGATTTCTAGCTAACCTAACTAGCACTCTAAACTAACTCATAATATTTTATCCTAAGATCAAATCCACTCGCACATATATTCTCCTGATACAAGATTTCTGAGGAGCAACCGCTAACTAGACTTCTAAGACCTAAACCTCACTAATATTGTTTATACCTAAATTCAAGGCTCCCCTCGACATTATATTCTCCGCGCTGATACAAGGATTTTCTGTCTGAATGTGAGGCAGAAGTTCCTAATCTATTGGGTTGAAGTCACCACTGCTAAGTTTATAATTAACGCTCAGCTCAATCTCTAATCTATTTTATCTCTAAAATCAGATCCAGAGAGTTACTAATTTGCCGAAGGAGATTGAATTAGGTTTCGCGGTGCGCGCACATTTATGTATTTCTCTCTTGGATACAAGAGGGATATGTTTTGATAAGTGCGATAATCTTGACTAGGACCTAAACTAGTCTACGTCTAAGGCAAGCTAACCTCTACGTAATAATTTTGTACGTCCTAAATTGAGAGTGCAATCTCCTCGCACCATAGTATATCCTCCTGAATACAATAGATTTCTGGATGTCAACCGTCAAACTTAGCACTGTCTATCCTGGAACGCGATCAACTAGAATATTATGCGCATTGTAAAATAATTGCAAGCGTCTCATACGCTATCATGGTATTGATGTTAACTCTGTATAGAAGATTTCTGAGCTAACCTAACTAGACACTCTAATACGCTTAACCGGTCTACTATATTTGGTATGCAGCTAAGTAAATCATCTCCTCGCACATATGTATTGTATTTCTCCATTCGATAGGCAAGATTTCTGAGCTAAGCCTAGATAGACTCTTATTGTAACGAAGCAAGACTTGAACACTAAATATTTATTCCTAAAATTTCAAGCTTCCTCGCACATTATATTTCTCCTGATACAAGAATTTCTGAGCTAACCCTAACTAGCACTCTAAACTAACCTCACTAATATTTTATCCTAAAATTCAATCTCCTCGCACATTATATTCTTCTGATACAAGATTTCTGAGCTAACGCTAACTAGCACTCTAACCTAACGCTCACTATATTTTATCTAAAATTCAAGCTCCTCGCACATTATATTCTCCTGATACAAGATTTTTGAGCTAACCTAACTAACTCTAAACGTAACCTCACTAATTATTTATCCTTAAAATTCAATCTCTGCGCACATTATATTCTCCTGATACAGATTTTGAGCTAACCTAACTAGCACTCTAAACCTAACCTCACTAAATAGTTTTATCCTTAAAATTCAAGGCTCTCGCACATTATATTCCTCCTGATGCAAGATTCTGAAGCTTAACCTAACTAGCAGCCTTCTAAACTAACCTCACTAATATTTATATCCTAAAATTCAATCTTCCTCGCACATTATATTCTCCTGATACAAGATTTCTAGCTAAGCCTAACTAGCACTCTAACCCTAACCTCACTAATATTTTTATTCCTAAATTCAAGCTCCCCGCACATTATATTCTCCTGAATACAAGATTTCTGAAGCTAACCTAACTAGCACTCTAAAATAACCTCACTATATTTTATCCTAAAATTCAAATCTCCTCGCACATTATATTCCCTGATACAAGATTTTTGAGGCTACCTAACTAGCACTCTAACCTAACCTCACTAACATTTTATCCAAAATTCATCTCCTCGCACATTATATCTCCATGATACAAGATTTTTTGAGCTAACCTGAACTAGCAACTCTAACCCGTAACACTCACTAATATTTTACCCTAAAATTCATCTCCTCGCACGATTATATTCTCCTGATCAGTTTTGAGCTAACCTAACTAGCACTCTAAACTAACCTCACTAATATTTTATCTAAAATATCAATCTCCTCGCACATTATATTCTCCTGATACAGATTTCCTGAGCTAACCTAACTAGCACTCTAAACTAACCTTCCACTAATATTTTACCCTAAATTCAATCTCCTCGCAAACATTATATTCTCCTGATACAAGATTTTTGAG